CAGTTAAACTTTAGAGGCATAATCTATAAACCAAAACTGCATCATTAAGCTAAAGTTGTTTTAGTAACTATAGTGCCCCTTTAGCTAAGTCCACCATATGCAACAAGAAAACAAGCAACACCAAAACTATGTTTTATGAAAAAAAGTGTTTCATAAAACAATGCTAATTATTGCTAATAACAAAGTTATTCCCAATGAATTCCTGAATATTATCCCTTAATAGCCCTTCAAATATTTTATCAGTTACAGAAGTTAAGCTCACAGGTCTATAATTTCCTGGCACGGTTATAGGAACAACATCTGCCTTCCTCCAATCCTCCGGTACAATACCTTAGACAAAAGAATCTTGAAAGATTAAATACAGAGGTTCACTCTTTTCCCCACTTAGCTACTTAAGTACTCATGGGTGAATACCGTCAGGCCCCAGAGCCTTATTTACATTAATTTTATTTAACTGCTGTAGCACCTTGTCTTGAGTCATCCATTCACAAATTATTAAGTTTTTTGCAGCAATCATTTGCATATATCTTACCATAGGATCCTCATTAATATATACTGAAGAAAAATAGTTACTCACTGACACACACACACACACAAGCTCACTACAGACAAGCTAACTGACACACATGCTCACTACAAACTCACTGACACACACATATTCACTTACAGACACACACACACACACACACATCACTGTCATGGGCTGAAGCCTACCTGTCACAGAAGGCTGTGGGAGACTGGGAGCACTGAGCCATGAAGTCTTCCTTCAGGCAAGGTCAGCAGCATATGTGCGGGGGCAGAGCATGTGGGGGCGGGGCTTGCATGCGGGAAATGGGGTCTGAATACGGGGGCGAGCATAGCAGCATCAAATTGCTAGGGATTCCAAAGGGTCACAGTGCTCCCTCCAGCACCCTGTCACCCCAAATGCGGCCCCTAGCACCTCCCTCCTTCTTTTATTTTTAGGTATCCTGATGCCTGTGGGAAGGGAGGATGTTAAAAAATCCAGGGGCCTTGCCCCCTCCTGTGGACGTACACAATCTCACTACAGGAAAGCTAACTCACAAAAACATGCACAAACTCTCTACAGAAAAGCTCACTGACACACACACAAACTCACTACAGATAATCTAACAAAAGACAGGGGGTGGCCTGGAGGGTAGATGTTAGAGCACTGTAGCACCCATGGATTGTCTTGCTCGAGGGGCTTCAGGTAAGTAACAATATAACAGCTCACAAAGCACATAAATATTATGTTCAATCACTATAATAAATCATATATTTAGCGCATTTTGGTGCCATTTTAGATCTTAATTGGGGATGATAGGCACCCTATCATCAGGAACCACATATAAGTCCATTAATGCCTAGACATAACTAGGTGAGAAACGTGGAGCATACACTCAACCTTAACCTTAACCAGCAAATCCACCACCCTTCTAGTAGCATCCAAGGGCTGTCGACCTTGCACAAATCCAACCTGATGAGGCGGGCTGGGCCGTCGAGCTGACAAGCAGCCATCTTACAAAGGTCCGGCTTTTAAGCTGAAATGCAACAAATTAAATTCTTACCTGCCTTCAAGCTGAGTAAATTCATGAAGGGGAACACCTGAGGAACCAGGTGACTACCGGCTGAGGCCTACCCCAACTTATGAGCCTGACGTGGCACCCTACGTTACTGAGCTGATCGCACACAGCATACATTACTTCTGCACATGGAATGGATGTCTCACCCCTTGAAATCAGGGACTGCTCAGCACCAAAAGTTATGGCAATGGCTGGGGTGCCCCCCCCTTAGCCAGGGGGGGGGGGGGGAGTATCCCAGTCAAAAGTGAAATGTTACCCATTTTGAGTTCTTTACACACCGTTACTTATCTCTGTTGCTAGACTGTCCTGTTAGGAAATGTGGTCAAGGCCTGAGGCACCACTAACAATATTAGCCCCTCCTTGCTGGGGGCCCCCACTCCCTCCTTGGATGCAGCATGCAGATTCACCAATTTGCAAATTTACCATTTGTAGTAAAGGGCCACAGCTGGGGGGACCTGGGGGGGCTTTATGCTTCAACACTGTGGATGTCCCTGATGCACCTGTTTTCATGTCCAATATCATTCTGATGTTTTGCTTTCTCGGGGGAGGTCCCTTGGTCGGAGTTGCAATGAAAAGTATATTTCTGGTTGTTGTTTTGTGTTTTTTTTTATTTCTTATTTATTTTATTTTATTTATTTATTCCCATAATGTCTGGCTGAACGTGCTTGGTCCAAGATCCCTGCGGCTTTTGGGGAAACACTCCCATAGACACCCGAAAGAGGGTCTTCATGTAACAGGCCTTACTCCTTTTTCTCTTACCCGCCTGTTTCACGGGGCATCTGCCACTATAAAGGTGCCGTTTATTGTTTTTTTTTCTCCTGTTTGTTTTTCAACAAGACAAACTGGCCAATAAGCCCTGCTACATACTGCATTTTACTCGATCTGGGGGAACGTGATTTAATTTTGTTTTTGTTTATGACGTCATCTAACGCCTCTGAGATATTAAGTGTTTTAAGTATGCGTAACATATATTATGCTGTAATACTGTTTGACTGCATTCTGTTCTATATATGTATTCCTGCCTACATAATTTGGTTAGCATAACAGCGATATTGTAACACTATGATATATTTTCACTCACTACAAGATTTGCGTTTAACCACACTCCGTATAATCTAACTACAAAAATTTCGGTCGGTACGAAAATCGGGACTTCAGGAATTCGGCGCTTCAGTTCGGTCGGATTTCTGAAAAGTGGCAAAACAGGAGAGGGAGGGAAAATTAAGGGAATGCTGACAGGAATCTAACTCTACCCCTAACCCTACCGCTAACCCCATCCCTACCTCTACTTGGGTTAGGAGTAGGCTTAGGGGTAGGGTTAGAGGAAGGTTGGGGTAAGGGTAAGGGGTAGGGTTCAGGTTAAGCGTAGGGTTAGATTTCTGTCATCATTCCATTCATTTTCCCTCCCTCTCCTGTTTTGCCACTTTTCAGAAATCCGAAGCACTTCGGCACTTCCGAAATTCAGCACTTCAGCAATTCAGTTCAGTTCGGCACTTCCGAAATTCTACACTTCCGAAATTCAGACATTCAGACCAACATATTGCACCTATCCCATCTAGTATTGCCTAATGTTGACTTGCAATGCCTGCACAGGCAACCAAAAACCTATTTTTGCAGTCAGTAGAATGTATGACCCCAAATGGCATTTCTAAATAAAAAAAACTATTTCAAACTAATCACACCTGATCATAGCATATCAGACTAGGTAGCACAGCTAAGAGCTGGGATGCCAAGATTTTGGTATATATATTTGTGGTCTATGTTTAAAAGAGATATTGGATGCAGGTTTGCAACATTTGGAAATGTAACTATGTGTGCATATAACATTTCTTGTAGTAACATCCCATAATTCAAATAGTTTTTAAAAAGGGCACACATATAACCAGTCAACAGCAGGGCTAAGGTCTTGGCTGGCTGTGTAGTCGTCTGGAAACTGAGTTTTTCCCTCTGGCAGTGACCTCAGGGTTTTTGTAACTTGTATTGAAATATGAGCTGATATTTCCTATGCTTGGGAAGGAATGACTTTAAAGTATTAAAAAAAAATCTCTACTGGTTGAAGTTGATGAGTTGATGATCAGTGGAGGCTCATTCATACAGACACTTGTGCCAGTGCCCCGCTAGGTTTTAAATCGGGGGAAAAAAAAATAATATGCAGTAGTTTGGAAACACTAAAATTCCTTTTCTGGAGAGGAGGGAGGTAAGCTAAATAAATATGGAAACAATTAGTGCCTCTTTAAATCTGAAATATGTTTTATGTCTCCCCCCCCCTTCATTAGTAGCTGTTTGGAGAAGTTTACTTGAGAGCATCTAGGTATGTTAACAAAAATGGGCAGGTTTAAAATCTAATTTGAGTTGTTATTCTGGCATTAGAGCCTATGAGTGTAGCCATTGACTGATAGCACCAGGGGGTGGGTTACAGTGCCCACAGGAATGAGAAACAAGAAGTGGAACAGCAGGTGCAGATAATGCTCCCCACCAAATATAAGTGTATAATATTATCTTTGTCTTTCTCCCAATAGCCTCAGTGGCTGTCTAAGGGCCAATTATGCAAGGGAATTTACACAAGAAATCATTCACAGAAACATTCGGTCCGTATAGTCTGTCCAATTTTCTAAATACCTTCGTTAGTCCCTGGCCTTATCTTATAGCTAGGATAGCCTTATACCTATCCACCGCATGCTTAAACTCCTTCACTGTTTTACCTATAGATATAAAGCCAGGGTTTACAAGGAAGTGGATATTTCTGACACACAGCACCATGCTGCCTGTCCTAATAGGGACACTATAGTCACCAGAACAACTACAGTTTATTGTATTTGTTCTGGTGAGTTTAATTATTCACTTAAGGCTTTTTGCAGTAAACAGAGAAAATTCAGAGAAAATGTAGTGTTAACATTACAGACTAGTGATAACTCCACTGGCCACATCTCAGATGGCTACTAGAGGTGCTTCCTGGGGCAATGCTGCACACCATTCAGTGTCTCAAAGCATTTTACATAGACATGTACTATGTGAGATTTTCTGCATTGCGGTTCTGTGTAATCCATCACAGTGATCCTGGCTGTAACGGAACGCTGGTCTCTCACAGACTATTTCCGCTGGTAGTCGAGGTGTGGCTCAGGAACAAGCAATAATCCCAGGCACAGTACCCACAGTGAGAGAATAATCCAGCAGCATGACAAGCACAATCAGCAGTAAAATCCAATCGTATCCCATCACCTTTCCCAATAACTGGACGACACACAGTATCAGGAGCAGAACTTAACTGAGGTTTAATCACACAACCCCTGCTTTTATGCAATGCTCCCGTGCAAGGGAGCCACCCACAATAATTAGTACATTAACCAATAAAGTACAAGGTACAACCCACACATCTCCTCCCATCAGCTTATCTGTTAACCGAATTAAAATGTACATATTTTTCCCCAAGTTGTAGATGTACCCCAAATACATAGGGTACACCACTGTGGTATCCCCTGATAGCCCTGATCTGGGTGAATAACATATTCAAAAATCACCCCGTTCGGACCAGGGGTTCTGGAGTTATGGGGGTTAAAAAGTTAGGTGGAGTTCACTTTAGGGCCACTGAAGCATGGCTTTCCAGTAGCCGCATAATTGAAAATCCATCATGCCCAAATACTGTCTTTAAAGGGCAATAACCCCAGGGCCATAGTCACATGGCAGGAGGCGGGCAAGCAAGCCCCTCCAAAAGCTCATGTCAAACTCTCTTAAAGGGGTGAGTTTGCTACACTGGCTTTATGGGATAACTCAGAGTATCTCATTATTGTGGCCAGCTCTGTGTATTATTTGCCTGTATTTTACTCATCTCTACTTTTGTAAGGTTATCTCTGTAGTCCACCCAGCTCTGTGTATTATATCTCTATTTTTTCTCAGCTTTATTTGTGGTAAGGTTATCTCTGTATTGTACTCAGCTCTATGCATTTTTAAGATATATTTATGTTGTGCCCAGCTTGTTTAATTTTATGAGTATCTCTGTATTATGCTCAGCTCATCTGTACTCTGAATATCTCTGTACTATATAGGGAGGAGTAGAATTCTGGGGGAGGAGTCTGGAGTCACCAGACACCACTGGTCTAGTGTCTGCCGGGTCAAGGAAATATTGTTAACGGGTACATGACATACCCAATTTAGATCCACTCTTAATTAATAATAACCAATGCAAACAAGGTATACAACACAGCTATACCTCAATGTATAAGAGTCATAGGAGACACATATACATCTCACAAATTAAAAAAGGAGAGAATAAAATATAGTTGAAGCACTCAAATCTTCTTCACCACAAATGGCAGTGATGGGAAAAGCATAATTCTAAACATCACACAATCTCAGCTGGGGGCGGGGGAACTTCTCCCTATCCTCCAGAAAGAACGAACAAAGTTCTGTTTGCAGCTTTCCATCTTTGGTTAAAAAGAGTTCTGATTGGTCTAAGAATGACTAGAGAAACTTAAAATGTGCCCCATCTTGGGTAATCTATTTTGGGGTACACCAGAGGCATTTAAAAATTTTTTTCCTGTAGTATAAGGCTCAATGAGGGGAGAGATTGTCACCACAGAAGCATAGAAGAGTACAAATACATTTAAAAAGGTTAGACAACCTCAAACAAGTAAATTAATTTAGACTTATATATTTCACAATGATGTCTTGATGAGGAGAAGATGTTGCATTGTCCAATTTATTATGTAGGTTATGCAGGTTTGAATAGACTGAGAAGAAATTAGACACCTCAGCTCTACCAATGGATTTCATAATATGGTAAGTGTGATGGACCCGCTGGCACTCCGACCGAGTACCTCCACCAATCGATGCTCCTAGTGCTTGCCGAGGACTCCAAGCACTCCAACTGACATCATCAGCACTGCAGACTTATCCCATCCCCCAAGCATGAGCCAAGGCTTCAAGAAAGGGTCAAGCAGGTCTGTTTAACGAGCATACAAAAGCAACAGCACCCACGCAGCAAAACAACTCCTCCTCAGAGGAAAACAAAATGACAGTTAAAAGGGTCAGACAGTGTTTGACAATATGACAGTTATTAAGGGTTTAAACTGGTGTTCTAAGAAGGGGGGAATAAACAGTCAAACTAAGTCCATAAAACAGGGTTTTCTTCACACTCTGCATCCGAAGTGCATAGCAAAACTGCAGATCCTTTGTCAGAGCATTTAAAGGGCCAGAACCAGTCTAATAAAATTCACTATGCCCAAATAACGTATTTAAAGGGCAAAATCTTCCAGGGGCCATAGTCATACGGCAAGAGGCTGGTAATTAGTCCTCTCCAGGCACAAGTGGCGAAGGGCACTTCGTCACAGTAGGTATTTTACATTTCTGCTAGTTTTTTAGAGAGATGTTCATATAAGTGGTGAAGGGGCTCTCCTCTAATGTTCCAATGGAGAGAAGATTGTTGAGTATGGATATTCATGATACTGTCCCCTGATGTGGCCTTCTACCAAGTGCACTTTTCCCTCAAATGAGACATAAAATCAGCTTAAAAATGATGCAAAGGTTCCACTATAGATCCAGATGAACGTGCCAGAGAGTCTCCAGCTGGGGATAACCCACGAAAATTGATTATGTAACAAAATAGACCCAAAAAAGGCCTAAAAGTCCAAAGAATGGAGATCTCTCCAATAGATAAAATAATAGTAGAAAAACTTTATTGAAATATTAGAAAAATTAGAATGGGAGACAATATAGTACACATTAAAAAGTCATGTGGCTGTGGTGCATGATGGGATCAGATCGAAGTAGAAAATACAAATACATTTGATGAGCTAAGAATAGCTTAAATTACCAACCATTTCTCAGAAGGAGCAATTCACCAGGTCTTAAACAAGGATGTCCCTTGATTCCAAAAAGAGACAATAAAAGGTTAATTGGATTAAATATTTAGAAAAAGCTACGAGAGACCACTCTTCTGGTGATATATCAGATGTAAACCAACTTTTATTCAGTTAGATGTATAATAACAATAATATTAGTGGGATAGGGACAGGGTCAACAATAAACGTGTTTATTGTATACTATATTGTCTCCTATTCTAATTTTTCTAATATTTCAATAAATCTATTGGAGAGATATCTATTCCTTGGACTCTTAGGTTCATTTTAGGTCTGTCTATTTTGTTATATAATAAAATCAGCTTTAAAAAGTTTCTTAGATTCATTTTAATAAAAGCAATGAATTTCCGTTAACTTGATATTTAGTTTAGTGCCCATTGTTACTGTTTCCCTTTTGGACCTGAGAAGACCTGCTGTCCTGGTTTTGGACACATGATTGATGCATCAAACATTGTACTAATACTTCCAGAATGACAAATTAAAACTTTTTAAAAACTTTTTTCATATTTTATATTGTTTGGCGTCATATACTCCATTTGCACTCTGATGTGTTGGGAGAATTACATGATTTCGGTTGAGCATACACATTCATTTCCTTTTTTATGATCAGATTTAGCTACGTGATACAAGGCGCATCTTAAAGCGTTTTGGGGCGTGGGTGATCCCAAACACTGGTGTGAGGTCTGGAGGGGATGTTGGATCTGAGCAGTGGAATTCAAAGTGTGTCAGGAAAGTGGTAAAAAATAGGAATATTTCCATACGAGCGAGATTTTCCCCAAGGCAACTTCGCGGACCTAAGAAGAGATATTACATAGTGATCAGAATGGAACAATGGGCTAACAACATATACAATGTGTTACATATTAAAAAAATTAAAAAGGAAAGGATATTCTTCATATTTTAACAAACTGCACATGTAGTGGTGAATATTGTGTATAACACTTTAAAGTCGTAACTATTTTCCTACACGGTCTAAAATGTGTTGCTATGTATGAGCTAGTCATAGTATTAACAGGGATCAACATTTCCACTTGTCCACTAGCCATTCTAGAGTTAAGATTCAGGCAAGTAAAAATTAATCTCTAATGAGTGTGCCGTGTGCCTAATGAGTGTGCAAGTAACTTCTAAGTCTTCAAACCATAAGAAATTATAAATACTGAAAAGCCATTAGCTATTTAGATGGCATTACAGTTTTCCAGGTAGTGGAGGATGGAGAAAGGGCCTTTAGCCAGTGCCCTAACTAGTATATAAATTCTCTCTACACCATTTCACATAGGGTGGTTGAAGGGGTAGAGGTTTTAGTCACCAAAACAACTTTAGCTTAACAAAGCAGTTTTGGTGTATAGATCATGCCTCTGCATTCCCACTTCTCAATGCTCTGATTTTTGGGAGTTACTTTTTTTTTTATACAGCCCTAATCACACTTCCCTCCATGTAACGTTCACAGCCTTCCTAAACACTTCCTGTAAAGTGAGATATAATGTTTACACTTCCTTTAGTACACAGTCTGTTTTAGAATTCCTTATCTCCTGCTCTGTTAATAGCTTACTAGACTTTGCAGGAACCTACTGTGTGTGTTTAAAGTTCAATTTACAGAGCAGGACATATAATCTTAATATAAAGAAAGTTAGGTCTGATTAAAAATGAAAAAAAAATCATGCAGACCATGTGAATCACAGGCAGGGGAGGTGTGGCTAGGACAGAAACAAATGCAATTTAACTCCTAAATGGCAAAGACTTGACCATTTAAACTGCAGAGGCATAATCTATAAACCAAAACTGTTTAATTAAACTAAAGTTGTTTTAGTAGCTATAGTGCCCCTTTAGCTAAGTCCACCATATGCAACAAGAAATAAACAGCCCCATACAGAACCCCGAGGGACACCACTTACCACTTTTGTCCAGCCTGAAAATTTACCATTAATGACAACTCATTTTACTCTATCCTTAAGCCAATGTTTTACCCAAGAAAAAGAATATTAATCTTAATCTTAATTAATAATAGGATGCCTCTGATTTGCCCCATTTAAATTCCCTTTTCTTATTTTTAATCTCTTGTTTTACTTCTCTACTAAGCCACATTGCTTTCAATTTGTTTCTTTTATATTTATTACCCAACGGTACATACTGAGAAATGTACCTTTCTAATATTTGTTTGAATAGTTTCCATTTATCCTCAGTGTTTTTTTTTTTTTTACTAGGGAGTTTATGCCAGTCAATATGTTGTAGAACTGCCCTAATATTATTGAAATTGGCTTTTTTTAAATTTATACGAGTAATGGTATTTATTAATTAATGACTTTTTGTCATAAAAAAAAAGCATAATGAGCTTAATGCTTTAGACGCACCACTAGATGTCAGTAAAGCATATTTAGTGTAATGCTTTGGGGGCACCACTAGGGGGAGTGTGTAGGAAGACCTGTGCTTCTGGCAGTGACATCACAGGCCAGCCTACTTACACTGAATAAAACCCAGATGTGAGGAGAAGCGAGCTCTCTGTTTGCCTGTACCTGACTGATCATGTAGCACCAGCTCTGACTTAGCCCCAGCCCTTTGGCTGGGGCCTTGTAAGTAATATGTTTGTATTGTAACAGTTAGCAATTGTAATAGCCTTAGCAACCAATAGTGTTTTGTGTAGTATTGTATTGTATAATTATTGAAATTGACATTCCGCTAGCATCTGTTTATTTATTATAGTTATATTAAATATACATTTAATATTACAACGTTTTGTGTATTTTCTATCCACATATTCGACCATAATAC